ACACACACACACACACACACACACACACACACACACACACACACACACAGACAGAAATAGAGAGAGGCAGAGAGAGAGAGAGAGAAAATTGATCAAATTTATTTGTCGGGTACAAAAATGATAAATAAATCAAATTTATTTTTGTAACAAACTCAGATAATTGACGAACCGTTGGGCCAGTTTTCTCCATGTACCCCTCCTTCAGGCAATGTCCCGTTAGGTGAGGTATTAACTGTGCAAAGAGACGCAGGTAACAATGTTAACGGAACAAACGTTGCACCTGGGACTTTAAAAATATATCCAAGACTTTAAAATTTCGTCTCACGTCATTGTCTCGAAGAGTGGGATGTTTCTTCTGGAGGTAAGCCAGGCGCGTTGCCCGAATAGCATTGAACAAGGATACAATTACCTATAAGGCATCAGATATTGAAGAGCATATCAGAAAGATATCATCTGCATCAATGCAAGTACACTGTCCGGACAGTTAATACAATTTAGGTTGAATAAAAATAGAGCTTTAAAAACCAGGATAGTTGAACATAGAAGCTTTATTTCACTACGACACACATAGATTAGTGTTTGTTAATACACTATATAATGCAATTGTGTGGAGATTTTCTGCTCAACTTCCTTAACTGTAGAACTGTATTTGTTGGTGTTCTGTCTTTGTTGTGATCGATCGTCTTTGCACTTCTAGTCTTTGAGATACACCTCACTTCAGATGCGAGATTCAAATGTACTGTAAGACATTCAAGTGCAACTCCAGCTCACCTGTCCTTTCTCGTGATAAACAAACAGATTCCTTGTGTGTTTGTCGTGCACGTAGGAGATTTGCAGACCGTGAGCGTGACTGATCTTCTCTGGCTGGAAGACTGCGTTAAGATCCTTCATGGAGATGACGGCTTTGGGAAACTTGGACTTGGTGTTAAATGAGAGGATCGAGGAAGGATTTCACAAGATCAGAAACAAAAAGGGTATTTGAGTGTAACCCATGAACGCACATACAACATTGTAGACTACATGGCGATGTGGCAAAACTCACGTCCTCTTTAATAAAGTATCGGAGGGTGAAGTCTTTCCGGGACAGCAGGAAGATCCTCTTTAAAAACTGTTTGTTGTCTTTGCCCTTCTTCCATAGTGTTGACTCAAACTGGTCTGGGATACATCAAATAAATAAAAGAGATGAAGAGCAACTCAACTTCTTGTAGAGTCATATTTAGGAAAAAAACAATACACAAGTCATTTTTGTATGTTAATGGCAGTTATTTACCTGAGCAATACGCTTGCTTGTTGTTTTCTCCTGTGAATTCTCTTCTTTCATACTTTGCACGGATCCATTGATCCTTAAGAACACTACGACAAAGCATTACTGTTTCCTCATTGATGAAAGACAAGTGTTTAAATAAATACCAGAAAATGTGTCGGCCTGTCACTGAGTATGAGTCATACTGCCTGTAGTAATAGCTCCACTTTGGTACCCAACTCAGTGATTGTTCCTCTTTCCACCTCTCCACACCCATCCACTAGAAATACACTTCACTTTTCCCTTCCATTGTGCTGACGAGGTGAGTGGAGGGCAAGTGGCAGTCACTTACATGCAGTCTTTATGTTGCGGCTGATAGAAGAAGGCAGGGACACACTTCTCATAAAGGGCCTTGGCTGCAGAATTTCCCCTCTCCCGCATGAACTGAAACCACAAGATGTGAGACACAAGAAGTCGCAGTTCTTATTAATTCCATTCAATTCTTTTTTTTTGTAGATTTGACATTATAACCAAAACATGTACAAAAGTATACTCTTCAACAATGACCTTGTCCAAAATAGAGCATCAAAAGGGACAGCTCACCCCAAAATACAAAATACATATTTTCCTCTACCTGCAGTGCTGTTTATCAATATCAATCATAACAATTTCAGGTAGGAACTATTTTAGTTCCGACACGTATATATAAGAAATTTAAAAAGTAAAAATTCATAGATAAAGTAGGCTTAGTAGTGTTAAGTAGGCTGTGCCATTTTCAATATAAAAACATAAATTGAATAAATGATCATACTTATTATTAGCCATCCATTCAAGATATATACAAACTACAAAACTATACCTGTACGAGGGAATCATCCCAGAGATCCAGACGTAAGGATTTCACTTTGCTGACACCAGCCAAATTACGATGAATCCCCGAGCAATTCAGGCACACAAAGATACCAAGAGTGTAGGAGGCCCAGTCAGGCTCTGTGAGCAAAAGGAAGGCAACAACAATTACAATATGTGTGTATGTATATATAATGAGGTCATACCACAGAAAACAGCCACCACTTCCCCCTTATAAAAGTTGATTATGAATTATGAAACCCGCCCTGAGATTGTTCTGTTAACAAACATCACATCAGGTTACCGTTTATCATTCTTCTAACTTTATTAAAAGAAAACATGTTCCCTGACACAGAAATCAGGTATGATGTTTTATGACAAAACATTGTTGGACAAACACAAACAACGTCGCTATCATATCAAAATAAATATATTGTGGTTAAGAATCTTACTCACCAGGAACTCCACAGTCAGCACACATGTTGTTTCCCTGTTCCTGCTGTCGCACCAAACCGAGCAGGATTTTGTTATTTCTGTCCAGACTGGCCATAGGTGAAGGTGGTTTGCTTCGCTCAGATTGACTGTCGAGTCCCAATTAAAGAGCAACTAGGTATTAACTCCATACTGACTGCACACATGAATGGTAGAGTGCTGCTCCGCTCCGTAGCAGGTGAAAAGCATCACTTCTTCTCACTGGCCAGTGGCCCAGCATTTCCTCTTACCAGCACAGCATCATGAAGTTCATTGTTCTGCACACAAACGCAGAGGTCCATAAATAACAGAGAAAGGAAGTGAAACTAATCTCACTGTGTAACAGGGTGACTGGCTTACAGAGACTGATCGACTTGTGTGTTGCTCACAACTGTGAGTTTGACTGGATGTCAACATTTAAAAATATTAAATTAAACTGATTTAAATGAAACTATGGAAGCCCATTTCCACCAGTAAAAAAAAAAAAAAAAAAAAAGTTGTATTTTACATTTTTGCTGGCGGAAATGGGCTTCTATATCATTCAGATGCAGGGTAGACATTACAAAAACATCTCTACACTATAGGAGGCTTCTAGATACATTTAAGCAACAAAAAAAACACTCTATAAAACCTCTAATATTGTATTATTTAATTGTTTCAGTATGTGACGTTTTAAAAGGCTCTAAACATTTTTGGTCCACCACCTAAACGTGTTATAATTAATTAATTATTATACCTGATTTGACCTCTCATCAGGACATGACTAATTAGAGCTTTACCTTTTTTTTTTAAGATAGAAGTGACCTCATGTAAATCCCAGTAGAGCTCCATTAAATTTCAACCCGAGCAGAGGTCTTGTCAGAGACCAATATGAACGAACTTGTGTGTGAGTGTAGCTATTAATCAGCGCCATATGAATGACTGCAATGACTCTGTAAACTCACATGCATTGAGTGGCGGTATAGCTGTTGTGTCGAATATTTTTTGCCTGTCCATATGTTTGCCCCCCTCCCTAAAACCTGAACCAATCCTTTACATATTATATTTATATTTAAGTATATATTTATTTACCCTTTATTCCACTCGAGGGCGCTATTTCTTTATCAGGAGGGAAACACACAGACTTCCACATGACACCGGAACCATTGCAGTGGTGTTGCGGTTTGACGCCGGTCGGTTAAAACCTGCTGGACAACAACCGAAAGGCCAAAGTTGTGCAACTTGTATGATGTTGAAGATAAAACAATCGATTATTTATTTGAATTAAAAAAATGATGTGGGTCGCCAGGCGATTGCTGTCGTCTGTCGCTCAGAGAAGTAAGCTTTGTAGAAACGTTTCATTCGGTGTTTGCGGACATGTTTCATTGACAGACTAGCAGTGTTAAGCAAATTCAACTTAGCTACTTTTCATTGCTCAGTTTAACTGATCCAGGTGATGATAGTATTTCTGTTTTAGACAATGTCCTTGAGTTTACACAGCCTGAGTCAGTTTGACAAACTCACAGTAACGTTAAGTTAGCTGTCACGAGGGACCTCTACTCACGAATGTGGAGAGCCCGCCGTGTAACAGGTTTTATTCCACCTGAAATGACCAGTCGGCTCCCTCTTGTATTCCCCTGCAGGTCAGTATGCAGGACATTCAGGCTTGTTCCGTCGCCCTCAGCACGGTTGCCTCCCAGACCTAGAGCTGCGGTATCTCCAGTGCACGTGTTGCTGGCGGAGCCGGGTTCCCGTGGCCGGCTTCGAGACCCTGAACGCCGCCATCTCCTCCACTTCTGAGCCCTGCAAGGAGGACAACAGATCCCTGGATGCCTGCTACACCTCCGAGCAACGGGCCGCCATCCTCCAGCTGCTCAACACCGCCGAGCCGGCAGAGCTGGCGGGCGTGAAGCTCCTCAGAGGCCGCAAGTCGCTCAACCTGGTGGAGTACAGGACTAAAAACGGACCCTTTAAAACCCTGGAGAGCGTGGTGAACGTGCCGCTGCTGAAGCACAAGAGCGCCGTCACGGTGTTCAACTCCATCCTCAACCCGGTGAAGAAGGAGAGGAAAGTGAGGATCCAGTTGGCCAAGTTCATCAGGCCGGAAGTTGACAGGTCCTGGTTGGAGGTGAGGTCCTGGTCCATTTTCACACACCTGCCCTTTGACTTTATGTGAGGAGGGGGGAGCGCAATGTGGCGCCAGAGTTTATTAAGTGGGGTGCAGCAGACTCTTTGTCTTGCAGTCCCTAGATCCAGCATTTGTTTCATTCCAGTTGACCACCTGTCATGCCTCTGTGTTTGTTTACTCAGGACGCCAGTAATATTGTGTCACTAGTATGTGGGACTAATAAAATCGCCTGGGCTCAAGTGGACCGTGGGATGACCGTGCTGGAGTGGCAACAGCTGGACTGTCCAAATTTCTTGAGGGGAACATACATGGCTTCTGCTTACTTGAATGATGTGAGTATAAATACCAAATATTCATGTTATTGAAGTTATTTCAATATCAACACCTATTGTCCATTTGTTTTGACTGTTATTAACATCAATGTGGAACTAAATGAATATAAGCCCATATACCACTGCACAATTTGTCCTTTTTCTTTTCTTCCATTAGGTTTCTGCAGCTGTGGCTCTCCTCCCGTCGGCTGACTTCTACATAATAGAGAAATCCTCCATCTCGGTCCAGAACACGGCCCTGTTCCCCATCATGGCCCACATGAGGACCGTGGAGGCCATGCTGTTCGCTCTGCTTGAGCCCAGAAACTTACCACCCGAGTCCAACATTCCTCCAAGGTGGGGGAGAAAGGAATTTCATATTAATGACTTTTTTAAATATGAAAGACACAAATATTGTACATACACACACATTTTTGTGGCAACTGTTTGAAGTCTGTGACGGTTCATCAAATGACCTTCTCCTTCCTTCAGAGTTTTGAACATGATGCGTCCTGCTGTGGGACGTCACTTCGGACTCATGGTGGGCGAGTCGCGGACCAGTGGTGCTCAGACGGTGCGACAGCTGATGACCGAGTCGGTGACACAGACGCTTCCCAGGATAAACTTCCCCCCAGAGCTGCTGGTGAAGCACAGGAATTCCTTCCAGATGGGCAGCAGAAGAGGAGGGGAGGAACTCTGTGACGCTCTGCTTCAGGCTGTGGCTTTTTACGAGCTACTCGGCGAATCCTCCAGTTAGCCACCACGTGGACCAATCTCTAACCGAGCACTACGGCCACTAAAACAAACATCCCGGGTGGCACTCTGAGCCCTTCTGGACTTAAACCAAACATTTACCTCTTGGAACAGATTTGGTGGTGATTCATGGTGCATTTAGTACAGTCAAGTCTTGAATATTCTTACCGTTACATGTTTGATTTGGACACTTCCATAAAGTAAATGCTGTGTCTGTTTCACTCCGTTCGTTTGTATTAAAAGTCATGAAACACACTGCAATGGTCTCAGTACACCAATCAAAGTGCTTTACATTCTTTAAAAAAAATGGTTGACATTTGCAAAAATATATTGTTTTATTTTACTTTCCATGACAAAACTGTAAATACATACACAATATCTCATCTCATCTGCATTCAATTCATTTGACAGTATTTAGGTGGAGATAGTATTCAGGTTAAATAAATGCACATTAAAGGTGAGGTATGTGAGGCTCTCTATGAGAACTCTTCTACCAGGAGTTGAATAGTTGACTTTGAGAGGCCCAGGTGTGTGCAGCTGAGGTAGTTCAGACACCTAATGTGGGGGATAAATCATTTGAATTTAGTATTTTATTAGTATTATCTTGATACACTAACATTTTATCCTACAATTATTCAATTGGAAGACTTAATTGACAGTAGTTAGATCTAACAAAACAGAAGGTGATTAAGTAAGGAAGCAGTGCGGTTACAACTTCCATCGTCTGCCTTTCACTGTCACACCGACTGCCCTGATGTGATTTAAAAACGGTGTCATTCTAAATGATCCACTACTTGTACTGACGACAGTTGGCCTCCTGAGATGGGACTTTATTTAAGTCTGTATTGGGCCTGGCTCACCTGACTGGCTCCTCTTTCTGTTCCTGCGCTCTCTGTAAGCGACAGATGTGGCGGAGGACCGGCATGTAGTCGACACCGACCGCTCGTCTGTTCCCCAGCAGGCTGAAGGACGCGCTGCCAAGAATCGTCCTGCTCAGCTTATACCTCCTTTTGGACACACTGGAAGGAGTGAAAAAAACACGAGTGGTGGTGAGGAACAGATATTTTGTGTTTTCTAAACAAACATGCCAGACGATAAACGATCAGACTCACCTTGGTGCGCATGGTGGATGAGCACTAAAGGTGAGGCTCTGTCTTTTTGAAGAGGCAGGTAACACCAGTCCCTCTGTCAGCCTCCCCCACCTTGTGTCTCCCAGTTCCTGTCTGTGTTTTCGAGCTTCGGTAAACGCCTCCGACATTCGCCGACAGCACCCGTGACACCCCAATCCCTCAACCGCAGCCTGAACATCTGACAGCCTCGCCCGGTTCCAAACCCCGCCCAACTCCTGGTCCTCGCTCACCTCATCCAACAAGCCGTCCTTCATCTCAGCTCCTGTCCAGACAAACGCCTCAGGTCGGCATGCAGCGGCTGGCGTTGTGGAATCTAGGTATGACATGAGGTCAAAGAAGTCCGCCAAGGCCTCCAAACAGTCGGTCGCCGCTTTGGTTGCACTTTCTTCCGTCTCGTCTCTCGAGCTAGCGGGCCCCTTCGGTGATGATGATGCTCTTTGAGGATGTTGCGTCGAACTGGAAGACGATGAGGCGTCGAGCGTCGCTGGGATATGTTTCCTTCTGCTGAGTCTAGATGCGTTCTTAACAGATGTGCCGTTGGTGGCTGGTGCCTTTCTGTTAACATTTGTGTCCAGCTGCCTGATGCGAGGGTCGTGGTCAGAGGTCCCCCTGGCCCCGATGGGTAGAAGAAGCTCCAGGTTGGAGTACAGAAGAGGAACGCCTCCTCTCCAGCTCTCCGCTAGGAGCTCCAGGAGCTTGTTCATGTCTATTTCAGACCAGAACTGACGCTGGAGAATTAAAGAAAGTATTGACAAACGTTTGTTCACATACACATATATACACATACACACACACATATACATATACACATGCATACATATATATACACATATACA